TCTATCTGCTTTTATCTATCTATCTATCTATCTATCTATCTAAACACAGTGCAATCCGTGCACACATCGACCAGCGCATTATGAACAACCAAAATACAACTGCCAACATTAAACAAATTTGAGCACAATACATAACATCTTATTCTAAAGCTGGAAAAATACAATAAGAAATTACACAGACAGACCCGTTTGCTTCGTTTTAATCAATTTTTTATATATATATATATATATATATATATATATATATATATATGGTGGACTCTCCTGTCGTGAATGATAAATGAGGGTCAGCAGTCGATGGTGTCGATGGTGGCTTCGTTTTGACATATATGAATGCTAGCAGGGGCTACTGTGGATAAAATCAAGAAAGAGAAGGGCATATTTCATTTGTGCTTTCTTAAGTGTGATACCAGCCCAGCCTTGCTGCGGGCGACAAAGCCACACTAACTGATGAAATCTGTTAAAGCAGGATTTTCGTGGCGTCTCTGCTGCAGAGCTTCACCAAGCTGCTCACGGTGATTCAATCTACTTTTTTCAAAACCCTTTAAGTTAGTGAAATACGTCTTACGCCACGCCTTATACACATACATATATATATATACATATATCAATTTGAACCAAAATCTCCGTTCTCCGATTAACATTCTGTGCCATTTTACATTCCTCCACCCGTACATCCCAGGTTACACCCGTCTAGGTACTAACCAGGCCCCACCTGACTTAAATTCGGTGATTATACGGGAACCGGTGTTTCCATGTGATGAGGCCTTAATCCTCTATCAGAAATAGTTATTTGAAAAATGGAACTGTGTGTTAATTAATGGTAGCCAAAGGTGTTATCTGCATATTGGGGACGTTAGAATCAAGTGCAAGACGTGGATTGATCTGAATTTGAAACAGTGACGATAAAGCAATCAAGTGTCTTTCTGAAGAAGCTATGAGAAGGCATATATATTAAAATAAAATAAATATGCTGAGAACTATCATGGCCTATGTCCTGTAAGGAAATGTATTTATTTAAAAAAAAGAGTCTTACGCTCATAATCAACATTAATGAGAATGTACAAAGAAATAGAAAAAAAAAATATTTAAAAACTTGTTGTCACTTGACTCGCAATAATAATGATATTCGAAGTTGCAAACAGGATACAGAAAATTCTAAGTAGCACACAGACATCACATCGGATTTTGATGATGATTGTCAGAGTCGAAATTACATGAACAAAAATATCAAAATAGGAATTTCTGACAGTTTATCCACAACTTCGAACGCAAAACTGGGCAATCAGAAAATTGGAAAAATATAATAAAAAATTAAACAGACAGACCTTGTTAATCAAGCCTGTTTGTCTGTGTGTGTCTGTATATATATATATACATACATACATACTTATGTGTGCGTATGTCTGTGTGTTAAAATAGGAAGAGAGTACAGTAAGATTTACAAACCGCTGGTCTTAGTAATCATTTTTATTTAAAAAAAAAACCAAAAAAAACAGTGCACGATACAAAACAGTAGAGCTTTATATTATTGCTTATAAATGAAATAAATTTCTAAATGGATTATTCCAAAAATCATTTACGAAGGGAAAGCAGCTATAGATTTTAAAATTAATTTTATAATTAAATTTAAAATTTTAGTTTCTTTTTCGAAACATGGTAGCGATTGAACCATATTTTGAAAATAGAAAATAATTACAACATATATACATACATATATATAACATAAATCATTTGGAATTAGAAATCGGCTCTTCGATGAACAATTCTGCGCCATTATAAATTACACCACCCGCACATCCAAGTAGTGGTGTAGTAGCGTTATTTCCTTATTGGGGGCGCATTGTGAAAAAAGAAAAGTGTGATGAAAAACAACTTCTCAGCCTTAAAGCAACCCTTATTTTAGTCCTAATGCATTCCCCCCCTCTACCCATGTGAACAGTCTTTAAAAGCGTTCATTCATTTTAATGTGCATTTTATTGCGAAGCGAAAAGAGCTACAAAGAAAATGAAGCAAGTTGAAACGAATGAGAAGCCAAATGAAGAACAAAAACAAATTAAAAAGACTATACTTGTTATTTCCTGGAACGTTTATTTGCTGCAAGCTCTCTGATTAGTGTCCTAGCCCGTAATGGGGGTCTTAAAATGTGTCAGGTTGTAGCGTCGAGATTTTAAAGGATTTTAAAACAAGCATTGGTTGGAGCAGGAAGGCACGGTAGAATGCTGAAAGGAAGAGTACAGAGGACAGAGAGTTGATAAAAAAAAATGGCTGAAAAAAAAAAGTTCCTGCGTTTATGCTGGCGAGGGAATGTGTCCAGAAAAGCAATGACTGGACGGTTAATAAGAGACGCTGAGTGATAGGAAGAGGAAAAGGATGAACGGAGAATATGAGACAGGGGAATAGAAAAAATAGATGCGACTTGATAAAGGGAAGTAAATTGAGAGAGCAAAAACTGTATAATTAAGAAAACAAGTTAGCGTAACAAGCTATAAAATAGGAAAACAGAAAGGAAACGAATAATGGATTATTGAGGGAAGGAAAATCACAAGAGAAAAAAAGGGGAGAGCAATGGAAGAAAAAGAAACGAAATGTTTATCGATGATTGGATAAGAGACGTTTAGGAGACAGGAAAGAAGATCGAGTTATGTAACGAAAATTGCTACTGGAATATTTGTTTAAAAATATGGTAGTGTATGCTAGAGAAATAAAGCGAGGATGTAGAAAGGAATATACAGGGTGCTCAGTAAAAAAGCGGTAAATTCAGAAAGAAATTGGTTTAGCTATCATGATTCATGCACCAACTGAACAATCATCTCCTCGGGGATCTTTGAAATGTTTACCTGAATGTTCAAAACAAAGTTGTAAGTGTGGTAATCAGGAGGAGGTAGTAGTTTTGCGGATAGCGTCAAGATGAATTTCATTTCAAGCTTCAGTTAAATACCACTTCAATAAATTAATATCGACGATGTCACGACGTCGGTTTTGCAAGTGAGTTACGGTATACTGTAGACACAGTAATCCATAACATTCATATCGGGTTTTTTAGGGAGGGTCCCCGAGATGGACCAATTAGAACTGGTGTTTTTTCTCGAAGAATAACTTTGCTGTTTTTTTTTTACTGGGAATCCTGTATTTGTGATGAAGCTTTCAGGATGGGCTTGAGATAAAAAAAAAACTTATTGACAGCCATAAGACAATTCCTAGACCACTGAATGTTTCAAAAATAAAAATTAAACCGATTAAAATTTGTTCTTGTAAAATCTGTATTACTCTTTTTATGTCAACATTTATTTACCATCTTATCGGACTAGCATTCTCGGCTGACATGAAGTGGAAGTCGATATTGAATCTATTGCTTGGCCAGCTGCTAATGTTTTTTTTCTGGTGCTGAGTTGTCTCGGTCCTGAGTTGTCTCAGTCCTGATTTGTCCCGACGCTTAGTCGACGGTGTTGTGTTGTCTTCCACCCCAGTAAATTCAGAAAGAAATTTATTTAGTTATCATGATTCATGCAGGAACGGAACAATCATCGTAGATGTTCGAAATGTTTACCTGAATGTTCAACACAAAGTTGTAAGCGTGGTAACCAAGAGGAAGTAGTTTTGCAGATTGTGTCAAGTGGAATTTCATTCCAGGCTTCAGTTAATTTTAACTTCAATGAATCAATATCGACGATGTCACGACGACGGTTTTGCAAGTGAGTTCGGAGTACATTCCAGATACAGTAATCTGTAATATTCATATCTGGGCTTTTAGAGAGGGTCACTGACATGAACCAATTAGAGATGGTTTATTTTCTCGAGGAATAACTTTGCTGTTTTTTTTTTTTTTACTGGACACCTGTTAGTAGAGAATGTAAAAGAGACAGGAAGGATAAGATGGTGGGTTTTAAGCAGAGAAGGGAGCGAGAAACAAACAATCCTGGAAATGACAAAGTAAAAGACAATGGTGAAGAAGAAAAGATATTTGAATATGAAAGAGAGATGGGACAGAAACATTGACAAGAAAATAAGCAATCGAGACAAATATAAAAAAGTACAATTGCAGTTAGAAGAAGCACAGTGAAATAAAAGGCCTAATTTGGGAAACTGGAGTGGAAGGTTTAATACCGTATATACTCGTGTAAAGTACGATCTTATCATATATCTCATGTATCAAGGTAAAGAGTCAGTTAGAGATCGAATTAAATGAATGAATAAATAAAAGAAAGAAAGAAAGAAAGAAAGAAAGAAAGAAAGAAAGAAAGATAGAAAGAAAGAAAGAAAGATCAGAAGAAGCAAATATAACTGTATCCATCAATTTAAGGATTGGGATAGAGATGTGACTGAATAAATAAATAAATAAAGAAAGAAAGAAAGAAGGATCAAATATAATTGTATCTATCAAATTAATGATTGAATTAAAGATGGAACTAAATGAGTAAATAAATGAAAAAAAGAAAGGAAGGAAGAACGAAAGAAAGAAAGAAATTAAGAAAAAAAGAAAGAAGAAGCAGATATAATTGTATTTATCAACTTAAAGATTGGTTTAGAGATGGGACTAAATGAATTGAATAAAAGAAAGAAAGAAAGAAAGAAAAGGGAGGATGAAAGAAAGAAAGAAAGAAAGAAAGAAAGAAAGAAAAAAGAAAGAAAAAAAGAAAGAAAGTAGAAGCAAATATAATCGTATCTATCAAACTAATGAGTTAGAGATGGAACTAAATGAACGAATAAATAAAAGAAAGAAAGAAAGAAAGAAAGAAAGAAAGAAAGAAAGAAAGAAAGAAAGAAAGAAAGAAGCAAATATACTTTTATCTATCAACTTAAGGATTAGGATAGAGATGAAACTAAATATATAAATAAAAGAAAGAAAGAAAGAAAATAGAAGAAAGAAAGAAATAAAGAAAGAAAGCAGAAGCAAATATAATTGTATCCATCAACTTAAATATTGGGTTAGAGATGGGAATAAATGATGAATAAATAAAAGAAAGAAAGAAAGAAAGAAAGAAAAAGGAAGAATGAAATTAAAGAAATAAATTAAGAAAAAAGAAAGAAGCAAATATAATTGTATTTCTCAAGGTACAGATTGAGTTAGACATTAAACAAATGAATAAATAAAAGATAGATAGATAGATAGATAGATAGATAGATGCAAATCTAGCGTTATATATCAAGGTAAAGACTGACTTGGAAAGACTGTTCAATGAAATAATAAATAAATAAAAGAATGAAAGAAATATTTTTGTAGCTATCATGGTACAGATAGAATTAGGGAGAGTAATGAATGAATAAATTTATAAAATAAAGAAAGAAAGAGAAAATGAAAGAAAGAATTAAATACAGAAAGAAAGACAACGGTATTTCTAGAGCGAAAAATATCTTATCAAATTTAGGGGAGAAAAAGTAATAAACAAATAAATACCTTATATACTTGTGTAACGCGTGATCTCATGTATAGTTCGACCATAAAATTTTCATTTATACAAAATGATTTTATCATGTATCTCGTATATCATGCGAATTCCTATTTTCAGAGACCAAATTACAATAGACTAACCCCCTTTTAAATCTATCTCTTTATCGCATCTATTATTTAAATAAGTCAAAAAGTAAAAGAGAATTATAAAAGTATCGTTAGTAACGCTATACTCGTTGTGTAAACACGTACAGCCATAAACACCCGAACGAGAAACAGCTAAACATCTTATAAACGTAAACAATGGAAAAGATGCATATTCGCTATGCTTGTATTTTATAATACGATACTAATATGTGAATATTACATGCATTATTATTGGATACAGTTATGTAAAACATCAGTTTTATCAAAATCATGTTTATTTTAAATACAGCTGTACTTTTTGACTACAGTAAATGGACAACGGCGTAGCTAGGATCAGCAGTGCATATACTAATTTTAAATCTTACGTATTATGCGACCCCCTTAAATTTAGCTTCAAATTTAAGTCTTCAAAAGTTGCATATGTGATTATATGCGGTAGATTAAAAAGAAATTCCATTAAAATAAAAGATTAAAACGCGGTTTAATGAAGAAAAGTGGTTGTTTTTTTCAGTCGTTGAACCTCAAGCCAGGAGACAAGTATATAACAGCGGGGGGTGTTTACTGAGCGTAAAAGAAAGGGAGAAAAATGATGAAATGAAAAGATAATGAATAAAGCAGGTTTCCAGAAGATAGAAGCTGAGGATTGAAATTTTTGAAGATTGTAGTTACCAAGAGAGCAAGTAGCAGGAAGTGAGTTTTATGGGTGAGATACACGCGAGAGAAAAGCTATTAGAAGAGAACTTCCAGTTACACCTAGAAAATTCCAGAGTCCAATATGGAAACATAGCTGCTAATTTACTATTGTGGTTAGGTTCATTAAATCGAGGCATCAAAGAAGAAAGCTCATCAGAAAAAGTGTTATGAAACTATTTGCAGAAAAAAGCAGAGGCAAGCTAAGTAACGCCGATGTAAATATGATTGAAGCCGAGATACTAGGTCAACACCGATGGAAACGGGAAAGAAAGACAGAAAGAAAAGAAAGAAAGAAAAGAAAAGAAAGAAAGAAAGAAATATTAAGAACTATGAAAAAGGAACAAAGATTTAAAAAAATGTGAGAAACAAAGGACAGAATATTAAGAGACGTGTGAATAAATAAAAGAAAGAAAGAAAGAAAGAAAGAAAGAAAGAAAGAAAGAAAGAAAGAAAGATGAATGAGAAAGTTTTGGGAAATCAAACAAACCTGAGAAAGAAAGAAAGAAAGAAAGAAAGAAAGAAAGAAGAAAAAAAGAAAGAAAGAAGAGAAAAGAAGGACGAATGAAAAAGATTTGAGTAATCAAACAAAACTGAGAAAGAAAGAAAGAAAGAAAGAAAGAAAGAAAGAAAGAAAGAAAGACGAATGAAAAAGAATTGTGGAATCAAACAAAGCTGAGAAAGAAAGAAAAAAGAAAGAAAGAAGAGAAAAGAAGGACGAATGAAAAAGAATTGAGAAATCAAACAAAACTGAGAAAGAAAGAAAGAAAGAAAGAAGGATGAATGAAAAGATTTGGGAAAACAAACAAATCTGTGAAAGAAAAAAAGAAAGATAGAAAGAAAGAGAGTAATAAAGAAAGAAAGTAAGAAAGAAAGAAAAGAATAGAAAAGAAAAGAAGGACGAATGAAAAAGATTTGGAGAATCAAACAAAGCTGAGAAAGAAAGAAAGAAAGAAAGAAAAGAAAAGAAAGAACGAAAGAAAGAAAGAAAGAAAGAAAGAAAGAAAAGAAAGAAAGAAAGAAAGAAAAATGCCTGAACTGAAGACAAATACAAAAAGAGAAGATAAAGAAATAAAAGCAGTTAACTATGCAAAAATGGAATGAGGGAAAGAATACTTGAAGAAAGAAATAGAAAGTTTAGGGTTAGAGTAAGGGCAATATGAAAAAAATCCAAGGAATTTTTTCCATGCGTGTTATACGAACAATAAACGTATGACGAAAGCAGACGAAAGGAAGAATCAAAGATTTGTAAAGCATTCTTAATGTCTTCATTCTTTTTTCATCTTTCATTCTTTTCCTTTCTTTGTTTATTTATTCATTTTTCTTCTTCACTTCTTTTTCGTATAGATTTGAACAAGTTGCCTTCCCCCCCAAAAGGCCAGTCATAGCAGCTCAAGTATTTTCTGTATCTTGTCTGATGATCAGATAAAGTTAAGTGAAAGAATCACAAGATACATAGCAGAAGCATCAGACCAGATGTAGCGACAAGACGTAACGTCTGGAAAAATGGGAATCATAAAAAATGTTCAAGACAGATACAGACGAATGAAAATATCTAGAATGAGAGTGAATGACCTTTCGATTCATATCAGTATAAAAAGGAGGCACCTGGACGTGGTGTAATGGTTAAAAAGCTTCTCTCGCTAGATCAGTTACGACTGAAAAGTGAGTTCGATCCTCAATAGGTGCTCCATAATTTAGGCCTTGTGGCACATCTAAGAGACGCTTAGAACATAATTAGCGTAAAAATTCATCCTTGGAGGGATTTGTAATGCATTACTTATCATCTCTAATTAGCGTCTCTGTCTTTTGGCAGAGTGCGCTCTGATGCTTCTCTGTCAAAGGACAGAGGCGCAACTGAGAAAATTATACTGACAGGTGGCCAGGACTGGGGAACAGCTAACCGAGGCCGCGCCCTCCCATTGCACCAGAGGGAGGATTCGGTGCTCGCACCGAGGCCAGAACAACCGCTCGAATCCCCACTTTAAAAAGACCTTGTGTCACATCTCTTCCTGGTGGGGGTAACGAGTAAACACCGTAATGCTTAACAAGCTTGTCTCGCTAGAACAATTGCAACTTAGTAGTGAGTTTGATCCTCACTGAGTGCCTCATATTTTAAGTCTTGTGCTCATCTAGTCTACGCTTAGAAAACCATCTCACACCTTGACGTGGTGTAATGGTTAGCACGCTTGTCTTGTGGCGAATTTGAATTTCACAGGGTGTCCCACATTTTCTGTATCGTGTCACAACTAATCTACGCTTAGAAAACCATTAGGGAACCTCTACGTAATGTAATGGTTGACAAGCCTGTCACGCTAGAAAAATTGCGACTGGGTTGTCAGTTTGATCCTGACTGAGTGCGACATAATTTTAGCCTTGTACCACATCTAATCTAGGTTTAGAAAGTTATTTGGGCACCTTGAGGTGATGCATTAGTTATCAATCTTGTATCGCTAGAATAATTGCAGCTGAGAAGTGAGTTCGGTCCTCACTGGATGCCTTATAAATCTTGTGCCACACCTAATCTGCGCTTAGAAAACATTTGAACATCTCGACATGGTGTAATGGTTGGCCAGCTTGTCTCGCTAGAACAATTGCAAGTGAGAAGTGAGTTCGATCCCGAGTGGGTACCACATACTTTCTGTCTTGTGCCATATCTAATGTACGCTTAGAAAACCATTTGGTCACCTCGATGAAATGGTTAGCAAACATTTCTTGCTAGAATAATCCCAATTGTTAAAATTTAACAGCCCCCACCACGTGGAATGTATGTGGCACAAGGTCGAGTTTAGCGTGGGTTCTCCCAGCCCGTAGGCTCGGCCAGAAATAATCCCTTTGAACCCGTATAAACAGGTTCAGAGCCTCTCTAGCTCCGCGGACGAAACTTTGCCCTGCGGTTCCTCCCCGCCGAAGGAAAGAGTTTGACAGCAATGAACGGTTTGGAGCACCGCTTCCGAACAATTCTTTACGTGTCAGGTGTTCGAACCTCACGACGTGTTTATGAGGACTGGGACATACCCATCAGTATTAATAGTTACTGTATATAACATATACAATTTCGTATAATATTGTTCTTGAGCGTCGTTAGATATATTCTGTTTACTTTAGTATTTGACTTGGAAATTATGTCCAAGTCATTTGATTTACAATTTATTAGGTGTTTGCTCTCACATATAGGGTTGTCAGATAAATTCGTTCGTTTTTACCTTATGTTATTTGAATTAGAACAGAGCATATTTTTTACTGTAGATTTATATATATATATATATATATATATATATATATATATATATATATATATATATATATATAGTTTATGAAAAACTAGGTAATCCGTATGGGTAAAAACCTAACCTAAGGAGGATAAAATCCAGAGAGCTCAATGTAAATCCAGAGCAAATAATTTAAATAAAAACAGACTACTTCCATGTAATAAATTATTTCACGACAGATCATCTGCGGATCATCCTCTACACCTTTGATATAAATATATAACTTCCATTAAGTTAACCGTTTAAATGTGTCAATATCTGCTAACTCACTCATGTCTTCTCTCTTACCCCGCTGACGTCCTCACTTCGTTAATTTACATATGTTTAATACGGCCCGTCGAAAATATGTAAATTTTCTTTTCATTTTTTTTTTTGGAAATAAAGTCTGATGATCCGCAGTCCTTTCAAAAAGCTGTGGTGAAATAATTTATTATATAGAACCATAAAGTGGTCTGTTTTTATTTAAAACTAGCAGTACAGCCCGGCGTTACCCAGGGATGTAACAGTAAGAGATAGATCAAGTATTGACCATCATAAAGACTGAAAAATAAAATTGATAAAGATTATTGTTTAAGGCTGACAGACACGCATGTCTTAATTAGTATTTTTTTGTTTTATTTTTTTTTTTTTACGAATTGGCCAAACCCAAACTCAAACAAAAACAGTGTTTTCAATCGTTATGAGTCTATCAATTGAATAGAATTTTATTAAAAACAATTGTCATGTAAATGGAATTTTTAAAGCATTCTGAATGTAAAAATAAAGAAAAAAGTGTGCAAGACAATAAGAAACACTATCTGCCAAAAAAAAATGAAGTTTTGTTAAAATCAGTTGAAAAATGTAGGAAATCCGATCCCATATATAAAGGAACATACACACACACACACACACACACACACACACAACCTGGGTTTTTATAAGTATAACTCGATATGAGTTGTCCCCCTTTCATTCTGGCGACAGAATCGTGTTTTATCATGTTTTCAAATTGATTTCGTGCAAAAACAATTGTGTTTTTCCAATTTTTGGCGCTGTCAGAACTACCGCAAGGTAATTTTATGCAGTCCTGTGAAGTTTTGTTGAAATCAGTTGAAAAATGTAGGAAATCTGATCCAATATATAAACGTAGACACACACACACACACGATCTGCGTTTTATAATAAGTAAGATATATATATATATATATCTGTGTGTGTGTGTGTGTGTGTATAACATTGTACTTTCTCTACAAGTCTGGTTATCGTTTCTTATTATGGTTATTAAAAAGGGTTGGTGAACAATAAGATTTATATAAATGATAGGAGAAAAAAAAGAACGAACGAATTTATCTGACAGCCCAATACAATGTAATATATCCGAAAATATGCGCTATTCACCGGAGCGGGCAAGAAAGTATGGGAGGATACAGAAAACAGTTGTTCACAAAACCGGTTTTAAAACCACGCACCATTACAAATACAACGATATCCATTTGTTTTCTTTCTTTCTGCTTGTCATTCCCCCTCTCTTCTCATTCTTCTGTATTTCTTGCACCCCTTATGTTATTTTCTCCCTCTACTTCACTCTAATTTGACGCTTCTCTTTGCCATACGTGCGTCCATAATGCTCCAATCGAATTTGAATTTTAAAAGAATATTCATCTGGTATAAAGAGGGTAGTTTACTGTGTTTTTAGATGTTTTTATTTTTATTTTATTTATTTAATTTTCTTCTTTTTTGTTTGTTTTTGGTCTTTTTTCCCATCGACATCATTGTCAATGCCTAAATTACATTTATTTAAATTTTGATAAAAATGATATTATTTTTTTTAATCCTTAATTTGCTGAGTGTTTTTCTTTTAGGAAGTATAATTAGAGGCGTTGCTCAGCAAATATTATCAAGAAATTGTTTTTATTACATTTTCTTTGGGTACTTGATTTTATTTCTTATTTTTGTAATACCTTTTATTTACTCTTCATTTTTTTATACTCCATATCGGGGATTATTTTTGAAAATTATTTTTTAAATTTGTTTTGGAATTCGTTTTCTTTGTTGTAACATTTAGTACTTTATAGTTTCTGTACTTCATTTTCTTTATTATGGTACTTTCTTGGCGTTTTTTCCTTCTTCAGATTTTTACGTTAACTGCCAACATCGTTATTTATTTTTAGTTATGCATAATTCGTTTTATTGCCATGCTAATTTTTGTGGCAGCGTTGGAGGAGAGTAGTTTGCTATTTGCTATAATTATTTCTACTTTCACTTTCAGTTTCGTCTGGTCTGATTTGGACGAGAAAATCGAAATACAAATAAGTCAATCAACCTTAGGAAGTCGGTGACAGGACAGACTGGAGTAGCATAATGCACTTTATACATACATACATACATACACACACACACACACACACACACACACACACACATATATATATATATACATATATATATATATATATATATATATATATATATATATATATGATATATATATATCAAATATATCAAATATAAATCCGACAGTATGAAAAAAAAATATAAAAAAAAACAAACAAAAATCTGAATATGCAATTATGTAGTATTAATATTAAAAATAAAGTCGACGTCGGACGTTTCGGTCTATTTAAGACCATCTTCATGGACATTTTCATTTAAACATAATTAACATTAAAACTTATAAAAATTGTAGATATAAGAATCTATTGATCACTACGTATTCCGACATCAACGGAAGAGATTTCTTGAACTGTTTATACAGAATTTTTCAATCGACTTTTTAATATTTTAATTTTTGGAAATCATTTTCGAATACGTTTTAACAACATCGCCCACGTGACGACTACTTGATCATATTTAAACAGAACGCTGATCTGTATAAAATTTCAGTTATCTGTTTGGATTAGTTGGGCTCTTATGTCCATCGTCTTTTGTGTTAAATTTTTATAAGTTCTAATGTCAATTATGTTTAAATGAAAATGTCCATGAAGATGGTCTTAAATAGACCAAAACGTCCGACGTCGACTTTATTTTAACATTAATACTACATAATTGCATATTCAGATTTTTGTTTTTTTTTTCTTTATCAATTTATTCATATATATATATATATATATATATATATATATATAGACAAGAGAAAATAACAGGAGGAATAGATTTAGATCGAAAAGAAGTATGAGAGAATGAAACAATATGAACAGCAGCATGCCTATGTAATGAAATGAAAACGAATAATAACAAATACACGAGCCATTCAGTTGTTATTACCACTCCTTCACAGACGCACACGCGTACACACATATGTACAGAGTGTGATGGATAAATTGTCACCTAAATTATGCAAAAATGAAAATAACACTGACATCTCATTAGAACAGATATAATTACCAATATCACACAAAATTACCTTGAAATATGAAAGCACAAATGTATTCAATAAAATCGCCATTAGCTTGAACCACAGCCTCCAGACGTCTTCGGAATCTCCTGCATCTCTTCTGGACGGTCTCCTTGTTTAAGTTGGTGAATGCTGCCATAAATTTTGTCCTCAGTCCAGTTTCTAGACCTAGCGTACCTTTGTAATTACCATTAGACTCATTCAGCTCTTCCAAATCCTCTGCACCGTCCTCTGATTGACATCCAAACACACTGGAATGTACGTATTGTAGCTTCCAGCGCGAGTGCCGAGCAATACAGCATGCCGTTTCAAAATTTCTGGCGGAGTGATTTGCGTCATGGCGCTCTGTTTCTCACAGACGCTGCCCAACTGTCTCTACAATACGGTAGTCGACAAAATCGAAACAAGCGACGCGCATGCGCGAAGTTATAAATCTAACATCTTACTCTATTGTTATATACCGTACCTATGAACACAAATTGTTATGTCCCAATACTCCTTAATACGTTGGACACTACTGTAAGAGGAGGTAATATGCTAAGTAGTCCTCTCCTAGCAGTGGTTTACCTACTTCACGCCGCTGGAGAGTATTGTATTCTGTTGATGTTATAAAGATTACCATTTCCAAATACCTTTGGTTATTTGTCATTCAGTAATACTTTCTAGGTTACAAAACCAGTGTATCATGTTTATAAATAGTTTGGTCAGAGAAATCAACGCTGCATTATCATTTATGTTATGAAAATGCCAATCACGATGTAGTCTTGATTCTTATGTCTTCAAACGATATATACACATGTTTGTAATAGACATCCCGTTTTTTTTTTCTTATTTAAACAATGTATATTACGAATATTGATTTGAACATTCTAAAAAGACATAGTTGTTATGGGATCTTACCCATAATAATAATAATGGAGTATTCCATACTTAATAAATACTGCACCTCAGTAGTAGTCAAGAGTCAGTAGTTCATTTTTTGAACCGACTGCGGTTCACCTCTGAACCTACATGGGAGGACGAAGGAGGCTACGCCGAAGGGCGGAGTTCCTTAAAAAAACCGGCCCAGAACCCGTTTATACGGAAGGAGGCCGAGCCTAATGGCTCGGGAATGCCCTTAAACAAAAAAGGCCTTGTTTAACATGACATTTTTATGGGGGGGGTGACTGAATATTTCAGTCGTTCACTTTCTGAGCGATTTACGGGCGGGAGGAACCCGAAGGAGGCTAATATTTCCTTCAGGCGGAGTCTCCTTCGGGAGGTAAATCGGCCCTGAACCCGTTTATACGGGTTCAAACGGGAAAATTTTTTGGCCGCCGAGCCTAATGGCTCGGGAATGCCCAATTAAAAAGGCCTTGTGCCACATGACACCCTCGTTGGGGGGTGACTGAATATTGTCAGTCGTTCACTTTTGAACCGACTGCACGGTTAAACTCTCTTCCTACGGGCGGAGGAACCCGAAGGAGGCTACGCCGAAGGGCGGAGTCTCCTCGGGGGGAGGGCGGCCCTGAACCCGTTTATACGGGTTCAAATGGGCTTTTTTGGCCGAGCCTAATGGCTCGGGAATGCCCACGATAAAAAGAACCATGACACCCTCGTGGGGGGGTGACTGAATATTGTCAGTCGTCGTCTTTTGAACCGACTGTTCGGTTAAACTCTCTTCCTACGGGCGAGAGGAACCCGAAGGAGGCTACGCCGAAGGGCGGAGTCTCCTTCGGGAGGTAAAATGGCCCTGAACCCGTTTATACGGGTTCAAATGGGCTATTTTTTGGCCGAGCCTAATGGCTCGGGAATTCCCACGTTAAAAAGGCCTTGTGCCACATGACACCCTCGGGGGGGGGTGACTGAATATTGTCAGTCGTTCATTTCTGAACCGACTGTTCGGTTCAACTCTCTTCCTACGGGCGGGAGGAACCCGAAGGAGGCTACGCCGAAGGGCGGAGTCTCCTTCGGGAGGTAAAATCCGGCCCAGAACCCGTTTATACGGGTTCAAATGGGCTTTTTTTGGCCGAGCCTAATGGCTCGGGGAATTCCCACGTTAAAAAGGCCTTGTGCCACATGACACCCTCGTGGGGGGTGACTGAATATTGTCAGTCGTTCACCTCTGAACCGACTGTTCGGTTAAACTCTCTTCCTACGGACGGGAGGAACCCGAAGGAGGCTACGCCGAAGGGCGGAGTCTCCTTCGGGGAGGTAAAACTCGGCCCCTGAACCCGTTTATACGGGTTCAAATGGGCTATTTTTTGGCCGAGCCTAATGGCTCGGAAATGCCCACGTTAAAAAGGCCTTGTGCCACATGACACCCTCGTGGGGGGGGTGACTGAATATCGTCAGTCGTTCAACTTTTGAACCGACTGTTCGGTTAAACTCTCTTCCTACGGGCGGGAGGAACCCGAAGGAGGCTACGCCGAAGGGCGGAGTCTCCTTCGGGAGGGAAAAACCGGCCCAGAACCCGTTTTTATACGGGTTCAAATGGGCTATTTTTGGCCGAGCCTAATGGCTCGGGAATGCCCACGTTAAAAAGGCCTTGTGCCACATGACACCCCCTCGGGGGGGTGACTGAATATCGTCAGTCGTTCATTTTTTGAACCGACTGTTCGGTTAAACTCTCTTCCTACGGGCGGGAGGAACCCGAAGGAGGCTACGCCGAAGGGCGGAGTCTCCTTCGGGGAGGTCGCTCGGCCCAGAACCCGTTTATACGGGTTCAAATGGGCTTTTTTTGGCCGAGCCTAATGGCTCGGGAATGCCCACGTTAAAAAGGCCTTGTGCCACATGACACCCCTGGGGGGTGACTGAATATCGTCAGTCGTTCATTTTTTGAACCGACTGCACGGTTAAACTCTCTTCCTACGGGCGGGAGGAACCCGAAGGAGGCTACGCCGAAGGGCGGAGTCTCCTTCGGGGAGGTAAAACTCGGCCCAGAACCCGTTTATACGGGTTCAAATGGGCTGGGCTTTTTTGGCCGAGCCTAATGGCTCGGGAATGCCCACGTTAAAAAAGGCCTTGTGCCACATGACACCCTCGTGGGGGGTGACTGAATATCGTCAGTCGTTCAAGTTTTGAACCGACTGTTCGGTTCAACTCTCTTCCTACGGGCGGGAGGAACCCGAAGGAGGCTACGCCGAAGGGCGGAGTCTCCTTCGGGGAGGTAAAAACCGGCCCAGAACCCGTTTATACGGGTTCAAATGGGCTATTTTTTTTGGCCGAGCCTAATGGCTCGGGAATGCCCACGTTAAAAAGGCCTTGTGCCACATGACACCCTCGTGGGGGGGTGACTGAATATCGTCAGTCGTTCAAGTTTTGAACTGACTGTTCGGTTCAACTCTCTTCCTACGGGCGGGAGGAACCCGAAGGAGGCTACGCCGAAGGGCGGAGTCTCCTTCGGGGAGGTAAAACCGGCCCAGAACCCGTTTATACGGGTTCAAATGGGCTATTTTTTGGCCGAGCCTAATGGCTCGGGAATGCCCACGTTAAAAAGGCCTTGTGCCACATGACACCCTCGTGGGGGGTGACTGAATATCGTCAGTCGTTCAACTCTGAACCGACTGTTCGGTTAAACTCTCTTCCTACGGGCGGGAGGAACCCGAAGGAGGCTACGCCGAAGGGCGGAGTCTCCTTCGGGGAGGTAAACCGGCCCTGAACCCGTTTATACGGGTTCAAATGGGCTATTTTTTGGCCGAGCCTAATGGCTCGGGAATGCCCACGTTAAAAAGGCCTTGTGCCACATGACACCCTCGGGGGGGGGGACTGAATATCGTCAGTCAGTCGTTCACTTTCTGAACCGACTGTTCGGTTTAACTCTCTTCCTACGGGCGGGAGGAACCCGAAGGAGGCTACGCCGAAGGGCGGAGTCTCCTTCGGGGAGGTAAACTCGGCCCAGAACCCGTTTATACGGGTTCAAATGGGCTATTTTTTGGCCGAGCCTAATGGCTCGGGAATGCCCACGTTAAAAAGGCCTTGTGCCACATGACACCCTCGTGGGGGGGTGACTGAATATTGTCAGTCGTTCACCTCTGAACCGACTGTTCGGTTCAACTCTCTTCCTACGGGCGGGGAGGAACCCGAAGGAGGCTACGCCGAAGGGCGGAGTCTCCTTCGGGGAGGTAAAAACCGGCCCAGAACCCGTTTATACGGGTTCAAATGGGCTATTTTTTGGCCGAGCCTAATGGCTCGGGAATGCCCACGTTAAAAAGGCCTTGTGCCACATGACACCCTCGTGGGGGGGGTGACTGAATATTGTCAGTCGTTCACTTTCTGAACCGACTGTTCAGTTAAACTCTCTTCCTACGGGCGGGAGGAACCCGAAGGAGGCTACGCCGAAGGGCGGAGTCTCCTTCGGGGAGGTAAAACCGGCCCTGAACCCGTTTATACGGGTTCAAATGGGCTATTTTTTGGCCGAGCCTAATGGCTCGGAAATGCCCACGTTAAAAAGGCCTTGTGCCACATGACACCCCTCGGGGGGGGTGACTGAATATCGTCAGTCAGTCGTTCACTTTCTGAACCGACTGTTCGGTTAAACTCTCTTCCTACGGGCGGGAGGAACCCGAAGGAGGCTACGCCGAAGGGCGGAGTCTCCTTCGGGGAGGTAAACTCGGCCCAGAACCCGTTTATACGGGTTCAAATGGGCTATTTTTTTGGCCGAGCCTAATGGCTCGGGAATGCCCACGTTAAAAAGGCCTTGTGCCACATGACACCCCGTGGGGGGGGTGACTGAATATCGTCAGTCGTTCACCTTTCTGAACCGACTGTTCGGTTAAACTCTCTTCCTACGGGCGGGAGGAACCCGAAGGAGGCTACGCCGAAGGGCGG